ATGTCCAACCATGAGCAACAAAACAGACAGAGAAGTTGTTTCTGTTTGTTTAAATAAGCTGCTTTAGGACCTTGTATTTTTTCAGAGTATTCAAAAAATAATTTTTTTAATGTATACATTTTCCCTATTTTCAGTAGTTAGTTGAAAATAATCTACCATGTTGCCTTTGTAAAGTAGCTCTTGCAACATATTTTTAGCTGGATTTAGGTTTGACTTTGACTAGGCCATTCTAAAACAGAGCTATAGTTTAATCGAAAAAGTCATTTGTAATTGCGGTTGTATGTTAAGAGAAATATTCTTGCTAACGGTGATTCTCCAACAAAATCTCATCCTTTGCATTTTTTGCCTTTTTTTTTTTTGGATCCTTTTTTTCCATTAACTCTGATCGGCTTTGTTGTACCTGGGGAGGAAACTAATTTTGTCTCATCTTGCTCGAGCGCATTTTTTTATATTTTATAGAGTTCCCTACATAGCTATATTGTTGCAATATGTAAACTTGACTGGGGTTTCTTTCAACACCCTTCTGTGCAAATAGGAGGAAGGCCTCCTTTCAATTTGCCATATATTTCAATTTTTAGTTGATTTGACTATTTTCATTATTAGTGTTCATGGTAACATGGCCGGAATGCAAAAACATGACACACTTTTCAAAAAAATTTTGCCAAAAAAAAAAAAAAAAGAAATGAAAAGCATGAATTGCTTTAATTCCATGTCACAATCTGCTATAATTTTATGTTGATTCAATAAAATACCAATAAAATGCCATGGAGTTGGTGGTTATCATGTGATGAAATGTTAAAGATTTCTAGTGGGGTGAATATTTTTGCACCTGTAATGTATTCCTCTCTCTTTTTTGACCTTCTAATGAACTTAATCCAAATAGGCCAGTCTAAAAAAAGTCCTTTGTAGTTCTGGTTGTATGTTAACAGAAAGGTTCTTGCTAAAGGTTATCCTCCAACAAATTCTCATATCTTCTGCATTTGGTACTGTTTTGTTTTGTTTATAGATCCCTCTTTTTTTCTCTAATCAGCTTTGTTGTTCCCGCCAAAGAAACTCATTTCGTCTCATCTTACTAGACCACATTTTCATATTTTACAGAGTTCCCTACATATGTTGTTCCAAACTGTAAACTCGATTGCACTTACTTTCAACACCCTTCTGTGCAGATAGGAAGAAGGTTCTGTCGATAGATTCTCCCACCTGAGCTGTTCATATCTGCTGCTCTTCCAAAGCCTTGCAGTTAACCATATATTTAAATTTTTTGATGATTTGACTATTTTCATTCATATTGTTCACAGTAACATGGGCAGAATGCAAAAACATGACAAACTTTTCAAATTTGTTTTTGCCAAAAAAAAAAAAGATTAAAAAGGATATATTGCTTTAATTTCACTTCACAATCTGCTGCAATTTGTGCTGGTCCCATAAAATACCAATAAAATGCAATGAAGTCAGTGGTTATCATGTGAAATGTGAAAGATTTCAAGTGGCGTGAATACTTTTGCAAAGGTAATGTATTCCTCTTTTTTTTTTGAACTTCGAATAAACTTAACCCTATGCAAATATTCCAGGAAACAAAAATATAGGGCAGTATTATTTGACTAATTCAATACAAGACATACAGACAGTAAAACACATCATTTAGGTATGTTATGGTGAGAAAATTCCCTATAAAGTTAAGTGAAACATCTTTTACAGCTCTTTATGGACGACTTGACTAATGTTCGCTGGAATAGAAAAAGTGGTTTTGTATAAATGTAGCTGACTCATAAGGAAATATGAGTCATTGTGTTTAAACTATGATGTGGTCTTTCAAAAGTTCTCATCAGATTGACCAAATTCAAAGCTGTTTTTAACCATAGAACTAAGAACACAAAATTTAAAATGACCTATCCTTTTAATACAACCCAACAAATGAAGGTTGGGTCCTTGAGTTTAGCATATTTTATGGACAAGATGAGTAACTAAAGCTTTCAAAAAGGCTCTAGATGATCCTGCAGAGAAAAAAAAACAAACATTATGCTTTTTGCTGTTAAAATGATTATATGATCAAGGTGCAAAGTAAGAGAAAACAGTCCTTCCAGGTCAACATGCAAAAAACTAGAAACATTTTCAAATTAAGATCATACAGAACCTCAGCGTGCTGGTTATCCTTTTTTTTTTTCGGTATCATTAAAGAGCCGCACAACCAACTTCTCCCCCTTTTTGTTTCTTTTCGGAGTTGTGCACACCCTTTTTCTTCTGTTCTTGAACAGCTTCTTGCCTTCCTAACTGAACACCAAGCCAAATGCTTGATCCTGATCTGTGTGTATGATGTTGTGGGCAGGGCAGGGAAAGTGGAACCTCCTCCCAGTTTGAACCCTGGCCCTTTAAGAAAAATAGAGCCACACTTTCACTAAACAACTGCTGATATCTGAAAGGGAGAGTTTTTTTATTTGGTTTCACTCGGTCGCTGTAACCTTGGAGTCAATAAGAGTGTTTGATATTTTCTCAAAGCAAATAACCCGGGAAAAAAACTGCACTTTACCGTTGGTTTTGGAGTTAAAAGGCTTTTTAAAGCCTAAACATAAAAAAATGTTGGTTATGTTAATACTTCCTAACAGCATACTTGCTAGATGGTCTGTTTATAAATATAATTCACTTTGTCGGACTAATAGATTCCTCGCTGACACACTTGTCAAACAATTAGGAATACAATTTGAAAGAAAAACAAATCCTTTCTTCCCATACTTCAACATCAAATAATTTAGACTTGAAAGAGGATGAAAGAAACCCTGAGGGATGTATCATACTTGATTTAATCATGTGGACAGGTTTTTGGCTCTCAAAACATCACTTTGTTAGTGGTCTTTCTGTCTCATTCTGTCCTGCATATATCAGAACTATCTTTGGCAATTAGAGGGAAACAATTTTAAAGATATAGCATTTTTGGTGGTGTTTAAAATGGTACAACTCTGGCTTGTTTATTCGTCTGTTTTCAAAAGCTAGAACAGTACATATAATTCACCAAGGCAATGATCTATTGATGGTATAAGGACTGAAATAGGTTGCATGAAACCATCTTAAGAAAGAGTCTCATTAACTTTTGAAAAGTCAGGGGAAAAGTAGAATGCGTTCTTGTGTTAAAGTGTTCTTGTCCCAGTGTGGAGGCTGCACGATGGACCAGTGGGTAGCACTGTTACCTTGCAGCAAGACGGTTTTGGATTCCATTCCTGTCCCGGAGATGGAGTTTGTATTTTCACCCCGTGCATGTGTGGGTTCTCTAAAGGTACTCCGGCTTCTTCCCAAAGTCCAAAAACATGACTGTTAGGTTAATTGGCTTCTCTAGAATTTGTCCTTAGGTGTGAGTGTGTGTGCATGGTTGTATGTCTTTGTTTGTTTTTGTGTTGCACTGCAACAGATCCCGCCTCTCGTCCGTAGACTGCTGAAGATAGGCAACTCTGACAAGGACTAAGCAGGAGAAAACGGATGGATGGGTAGACGTCCTAGTGTGAATTTACAAATTGTAATCAAGTGTTTTAAATATGCAGAAAATAGTTGATTCAACAAGAATGGTGGTCATTATGCCCTGATTTTTACAGTAAAATTCCCTACTTAGAAGTTGTCAATTTTGACTTTGAGAGCAAATTAAATGCATTATAAATTTAACATGGAATTGTCATAAGAAGAGCAGAAAAGGATCCAATAACAGAAAGAGGAAGAATCAATACTAAAAACAATCTAACCCCAAAATGCGAAATATTAAGTAAATTGTCACAAGGGAATTATATGAAAAGATCTTAATGAGAATAAAACACAATGAAAAAAAAAGACCCATACACAAACAAGGTATAACTTAAATCAAACCCTATAGATCATAACATCTGGCTATTAACAGTGGTTTCAGAGTAATTGCTTCTTCCTTTCTGAGTGGCCATTCAGCCCATGTTAATACAGGACTTGTTTCACTGTAGATAATGACACTATCATAATGCTTTCAGCCATCATCTTCATCTTCACAGGACATTTAGGTTTCTTTCTGGGGCTTCACATCAAGCTTCATTAATCTCTAGAACTCAACTTATCAAAACATCCTAGTGCTGTTAGATACAGCTATAACTGTTAGAAAAGATGCAGGTGTCACATTTAGAGGACTGTTCTCCCTGCTGCCCTATGGGAATATGCTGCGTAGCATTCGATGCAGGGCCAGCAGATTCCCAAACAGCTTCTTCTCTTCCGCCATCAGACAACTGAACTGTTTAGACTCTAGATTATGTCAAACACCCTGCATCAAACTGATGATATCAATGCGCTTTTTTGCACCATTTTTTTTCTCCAGCGATGTTTACATTTGATCACTGCTGATCCTTTAAAAATGGAAATGTCATGAGAGCTATACAAAACAAAATTTCGTTTTGCAGACACCCTGTGTCTACAAAATGACAATAAATGTTGTCTATGTCTCAAATTTAGTTATGCAGATGTTGAACTTTAAGGAGGTCTACAATTCTCAATGTCATACACTGCAAAAATGATCTAGAAATAAGTGAAAATGTCTCAAAATAAAGTGAATTTACTCTTAATTTGAGCAGGAAAATAAGATTGTTCGCCAATGGAATTAGTATTTTTTGCTCTTGGAATAAGTTAATTAGATAATATGCACTTAAAATAAGACAATGCAGTTCTTTTTTCTTATTTCAAGTATAAATTGTCTCGTTTCATTGGCAGAATGTCTAACTTACGTCCTCAATTCAAGAAAAATGCACTTATTTTAAGAGTAGGCTACATGGAAGAAGTGTGTTTTGAAGTGTTTGGAGTTAAGTGAAAGTAATTTAATAAGCAGACTAATTCAAGCAAAGGTTAAAGAAACAGGTTCAGACATGCAAAACGTCTTCTCTGTTTCAAACCAACTTGAATCCTGGATTTGAGCTGATTCCTTATGAGTCATGTTAAAAAACTTCCCTCCTTCCCTCACTCCGCCTCTGCTCCCTCATCCATGAAAGCATTGCTGTGATTGCCTGCAGGGTGAGCTATCAGACAGACCCAGTGGTTTCTGTTTGACCAATTACCGGGCCGGTCTGTGCGTGTTTTCCTGGGCGGCAACTGATCTGATATAATAACTGGGTCACTAAATTCCTCTGTCCAGCACATACCAGCAGACATTATACCAGAGGACGGATCACAAACATGAGCTCCTCCGCGGCTTTGGTGAGCGCCGCTGTTGCGTCGCTCTTAGTACTGAGCTCAGCTTGCAAAGGTTAGTTTGTTTGGTTTGCTGATTTAAAAAAAACAACAACCTTTCTTAGAGTTGTTGTTGTTTGGGCAGTGCTCCATGTATGTTCGTCATAGCTGCTAAATGTTTATATCGGATCAGCTATACAGTAAATAGGACGTTTAAATGTTTTTTTTTGTGTGTGTGTGTGTGTTTTTTTTAAAGAAAAACACTAACAAATCTATGAAAAAAATATCTTTTTTTTCTCTGATGCTCTTTTTCAATGTGTTTTCATCGGTAAAGTAAATGCAGCCTCTACAGTAACAAATCTCAGGTCATGCTGCGTCATTTTTATTTTATTTATTCTGTTTATTGTTTTCCAGATGCGCAAACTTGCGTTCAGAGTGAGTCCACCATATCCCATCCCTTCCAAGGTCAAGGTGGGTCTCATGGTGGTGATGTTTGTGGGGATTTATTTCTGTTGTCTGTTTCTATGACTCACAGCTGACGCAAACCTAATAAGGGTGGATGTTGCATTGGCCAATAAATAAAAGCAGTGTGTATTTAGGTAGGGCTGGTGTGCTCTGGAAGCTCTGCATCTTCTATCCCTTATGACAATACTCCAATGATTCTTTCAGTTCAGGTCAGTTTTCAGGTCAGATGGCCAAGCACGCAGTGATGCCATGGTCAAATCTACATGTCCTTTAAGTTTTTTTTGTTTGTTTTGTTTTTTTTAAGTAAATGTAAGCATGGAAGGTCCTAAAATGTCTTGGTAGACAGTTTAGTGCACTTTGGACTTGATAAAGTGGGCCAACACAAGCAAATGCTGTGACTAATCACAATTAATACAGTATATTATTAAAAATAATTGTCTAACAATGTATTAATCAATTAATCATTTACTGTTTTATAGAGAATCTAAAATATGCCTTTAGCTGACATAGCAACCTACTGAGAAGAGTAATTATACCTAGATTGTAAAAAAAAAATTTCAATTTAAGATAAAAATGTAAAAAAAATCTTTGGCTACCTGATTATTAATCAAAAAATATTTTTTAAAATTAATCGATCAGAAAAATAATTTTTGGTTGCAGCCCTACTTTGTACCAATGAGAACCAGTGCTGTTATCTGTGATCTGAGCCCCATAGAGACCCCTTTGATTGTGTCTCTGGTACAGGAGTGGCAAGGGATGCAGAAATCATACTATATGTCATATGTCTGTGGATGGTTTCTCCTGTCTCCAGAAGTCCATAACTTTCACCACCCCACAGTTGTGATGTTGCTTGTGCACTTTTTCCCCAACAACAATTTTCCTTTCTCAGATTCCTATCAATTTGTTTGGATCAAACCCAAAAGTGGGCAGCTCCTTTAGGAATTTCTTTCTCATCTCACTTTTAGAAGGTGTATACTACAATTGCGTTGTACAGGGAAAAAAAAAAAGATTTACATATATATCTGTATATCTTTTGCAACGGTCTTAATTATTTAAGAAACCTAAGGTTGGGGGTTTATTTGCTGTAAGCCATAACCATTGAAATAGACACATTAAGACATTTACAATATTTCAGTTTTTGTGGAACAATTCTGTTTGATGTAGGAGTTAAGCTTTTTGAACTGAAATACAGAAATCAATGTGTTTCAGAGGATATTCTGATTTATGTAGATACTCCTGTACAAGCAGGGCTTGACATAAAAGCCAACTTGTAGATAAGATCACCTCAGTACCACCCTGTCTAATTGTTTGAGCTTTTTTGCTCATCTAGGGACCTAACATTAGTTCCCTAAATAACAGTTTGATAATGCAGGCAGAGGATATAATATATTGTATCATCAGTATAATCTATTTTAAAGAAAAACCCCTGGGGATAAAGTTTTATAAGAGTGAACCGTAAATAAAGTGTTTTTCTGACCAACTCATCTAAAGTCATGTCTAATTTTCCAATAAATACATTTAAATACCAGCTCAAGCGAAAGAGTAAAGTTTGATAGACTAAACTATTGTAGTGTGCGAAACATTTAAATCAAGGAAACATGAAAATAAATGTTTGTAGAGTAATAACAAATAGACTAATTTACCGATCTATATGTTCACAAAACCCTTTTATCATCTGACTTGAATTTATAGGAAAAAACGTATTCATTTGAAAGTAATTTTAAAACTTCATTAAAAAAACATAAAATATTTAAAAAGTTCATCCACACTTGATAATCATGACTACAAATAACAATAAAACAAGTTATATGAGATTCTTGACTTATACATCTAGGCAGCTATAATGGCAAGCCCTACAGTATCTAATGGCTTAAAGATTTATCTTGTAATGAGCCTCAGAATGTAGTACCCAATATTCAAGGCGAGACAGAAAGGGGGAGGCGGGGCACCACCCATCACTAGCACTTGGGTCTAGGGATAAACACAGGTAAGTGACCACAATAATCTGATAGAAGATGCTTATCTGTATGAGTCCCTTACCTGGTTAAACCGTTCAGTCCATCCTCTCGAGAAAGGCAGGATCCTGCCAATGGACTGCCATCAAGATGCGGCTCCGCGGTTGAGAGGCAGAAACATGACACAACACCAGGAAACCTGCAGAACTTTAAAGTAGCTCCTTCCACTGAGCCAAAACAGGAACAGGGTACGCTCACCGGAGAAGAGCCAGGACACAATCAGGAAACAGCAAGACTACAGTAAACAACCCTCTCTAACCACTGTCCCCTAAGAACGAAAACATTAACTAGTGAAAAACGCAAATATTTCAAACACAAACAAAACTCAAACCGTGATCTGGCCCAGATAGCTGTGCATATCGGATATAAGCAGCAGGAGCAGGTGGATACAATGAGTGATAATTAGTGAACGGGGAGGGTTAGGCAGGTGAGTGAAGTGAGCAATTAGATCAGCTATCAGGGCAGCGAGAATTACATGTCTTTCCAGACTATTGTTTCTTTAAGAAGCTTTTAAAGGCTTCAGATTGAAGATTAGGATTTTAGTTCATATATTTGTTTTGTGAACAACTGTACTTTTTGAACTGTGTCAAAACATT